ATTATTCCAATTTCTTGTAGATCTGATTTCGAGTAGTGATTCGCAGTTTCTAGGGGTGGGGGTCCAAGGTCACTTTTGGTTTAGTATATATTTCCAGACACCCCTCTAGATCTGTGCATGTTGTGCCAAATTTGACAATACAGTGTTCCTTGAGATATGGCCCTTATTCCAAAAGTTTATGCACAAATGGCCACAGACTTCCTAAACAAAAATACATGAGAGAATAATACTAGTAAAATATTGTTTAATTTACATTATTTATGCCAAGAAAACAAAATGATTTGAATACCGGTAGATATACATAATATACATTTAACAAAATGCACATGTCATGGGCCACAAAGCTCGCATGAGTTTCTTCAGAAAAACAAGAGGCCCATGGGCCACATCGCTCACCTGAGTAACTTGGGTGATGCAGATCTTTTTAAAAGATTTGTTCTATATATATTTTTATGTAAAACTTGGATTCCCCATTGTGGCCCCGCCCTACGCCCGAGGGTCATGATTTTAACAATTTAATATCTACACTACCCAAGGATGCTCCCACATAAGTTTCAGCTTTCCTGGCCAAGTGGTTCTTGAGAAGAAGATTTTCAAAGATTTGTTCTATATATTTCTATGTAAAACTTGGATTCCCTATTGTGGCCCCGCCCTACCCCCGGGGGTCATGATTTTTACAATTTAATATCTACACTACCCAAGGATGCTTCCATATAAGTTTCAGCTTTCCTGGCCCAGTGGTTCTTGAAAAGAAGATTTTTCCTATATATTCCTATGTAAAACTTTGATCTGCCATTTTGGCCCCGCCCTACCCCCGGGGGTCATGACTTGAACAAACTGGAATCTACACTACCTGAGGATGATACCAAATGAGTTTCATTTTTCCTGGCCCAGTGGTTCTTGAGAAGAAGATTTTTAAAGATTTTTCCTATATATTCCTATGTAAAACTTTGATTGGCCATTTGGCCCTACCCCCGGGGGTCATGACTTGAACAAACTTGAATTTACACTACCTGAGGTTGATTCCACATGAGTTTCATCTTTCCTGGCCCAGTTGTTCTTGAGGAGATTTTTAAAAAATGCCAATAATTTTTCTCTAAATCATGATTATCTCCCCTTGGAAAAGGGCATGGCCCTTCATTTAAACAAACTTGAATCCCCTTCACCCAAGGATACTTGCCAAGTTTGATTGAAATTGGCCCAGTGGTTCTTGAGGAGAAGATGAAAATGTGAAAAGTTTACGACAACAACGACTACAATGACGACAGACGACGGACAAATTTTGATCAGAAAAGCTCACTTGAGCCTTCGGCTCAGGTGAGCTAAAAACTGATGCACTAAATTATAGGGCTTGGGAAAAATATCAATATTTCATTATATTGCAATACAATGACAAAAAATATTGTATCGCAATACAATTTTGTAATATCAATATATTGGCAATTGCCATATTAATGTTAAGATTAAGGAATATGTTATTAAACATAACAAGAGGCCCAAGGGCCTTGAATCGCTCTTCTGATAAATTATACAATCTATCCTAAGACCTAAGATACAACAACTGACAAAGTTTGATGATTCTTAGCCAGTTAGGGCTGAAGATATTTAAATGTAACCATGAAATACTATAAGTAGGTCATGGTGACCTACTTTTTGATTGAAATTTTCTAAGAGCACAAGATGCATTAATTTACAGAGATTGATGATTCAAAGCCAATAAGTACTTGAGATATTCAAAAGTGGGTCACAGTGACCTACTTTTTGGTCAACATGCTCCGAAAACCTAAGATGCATCAAATGATAAAGTTTGATGATTCTAAACCAAATAGTAACTGAGATACATAAAAATTTCCATAAAATGTCAAAAGTAGGTCACCTTGACCTACTGTTTGGTTGACATTCTCCAAAAATCCAAGATGCATCTACTGACAAAGTTTGATGATTCTAAGCCAATAAGTACCTGAGATGCTTAAATATAGCCATAAAATGTCAAAAGTAGGTCACCGTGACCTACTTTTTGGTGGTTAATCTCCAAAAACCCAAGATGCATCAACTCACAAATTTTGATGATTCTAAGCCAATAAGTACCTGAGATACTTAAATCTAGCCATAAAATGTCAAAAGTAGGTCACAATGACCTACTTTTTGATCGACATTTTCTGAGGACCAAAGATGCATCAACTGACAAAAGAATAAGGTATGATTTTAGCTTTACTGCGCCCTAAAAATGTAAAAACATTAAAAAGTTTTGAAACTGGCTTAAATATTAGTTAAATAAATGACTCTGATAAATCAGGAAAGAATATGGCATGAAGGTTTACCATTCTGCAAATATGACGTCATTAATGTGAAGCATTTCTCTATTTTCAACAGAAAAAGCCTCAAAATGGCACATTTCAAGGGTGATTTTCTTTTCGAAAACAGGGTCCACAGCCGTCGCCCACGTTAATTTTTTGATATTTTGTGCAAAATTCAATAACAAATCACATATTTCAAGATCTTCGTGGGCGATGCCTGTGGACAATGTTATCTGAAAGAAAATTCCATTGAAAATTGGTGTCTTCTGCAACTTTTTAAGAAAATACGAGAAAATGCACGTTTATGACATCATAATTAGCATATAAAACACATGTGAGAAAAATGACTTGTATGATTTTTCTGCATTGAATTCCAATTATTTAAAAAGCATGTGTTTTCAACTTTTACACCAGATTCATGTTTTAGAAAATCACAGGGCAAAATTTGTATGGAAAACATACCTTCTTCTTTGATGATCATAGGTTTAATAGTATTCAAAATATGCCTTTTAAACAATTTGAAAACAAATGCCAGCAAAGTTTAAAAAGTAGGTCACAGTGACCTACTTTTTAATAAATGTTTTAAGGCCCCAAGATGCATCAACTTGCAAGATTTGGTGATTCTAAACCTCTGGGTGTCTGAAATAATGGGATTAAATGTTTTAAAAAAGATTAGCCATCAAATTCAAAAAGTAGGTCACGATGACCTACTTTTAAGTTGATGTTGTTTGTGGACCCAAGATGCACCAACTGACAAAATTTCATGATCATAGGCCTTAAAGTGTCCAAAATATGCCTCCAAATCAATTTAAAAACAAAAGCCCGTAAAATTTTAAAAGTATGTCACCATGACCTACTTTTGTATTAACATGATGTCAAGTTCTGAAATGCATCAACTTACAAGATTTGATGATCCTAGTCTTTATAGTAAGCAAAATATCAACGTTTTTAATAAGTGTAAATTTTGTTCAACTTTGAAGTGATCTTGAGACCACGTCCTTTGCCCCAGGGTCATGCCTTGAACAATTTTTAATCTTCAACATATATCCCTACCCTTGTATGTAAGTTCGGTGAAAATCTGCCCGGTGGTTCTGGAGAAGAAGATTTTTTAGCAACCAGTACTTTTTGTTTTATTTTTGTGATTATCTCCCCTTGTTTTAGGGTCCCATCCCTAGTTTTTGTATAAATGGTAGCCCTTGGGCCAAGGATACCCTGTGACAAATTTGACAGTAATTGGCCAAGGGGTTCTTGAGTTATGGCCAATATTCTAAAAAGTTAACACACACCGCACGACGCACAAATGGCCATAGCATTAGCTCTTTGAGCCTTTGGCTCAGAAGAGCTAAAAATGGACTAATGAAAGTTTGCTATTAAGTCAAACAGTACTACAGAAGTTGATTTGTGGGAGTATTTCAAAGCATAACTTCAATGAAATTAACAATTTTTTTTCCATGTTGGTTACTTATCATAGTTATGTACATTCTGCATGTAAATTGAAGTAAATAAAGAAGGAAAATGCCATTTTAATAAAATTAAAAAAGTTGCATTACATATCGCAATACAGTTAGCAATATATCACAATACGAAATCTCAGGCCAATACCCAGCCCTACTAAATTATGTATCTTAGTATAGTCTACCTGTGTTCCAAGTTAAATTGAAATCATATTAAAACTGTAGGAGGAGTGGCATTTTGAAAAATTGTTTACAGACAGGTGGACAGCTAGACAGACGGAAAACGGATGCCTTAATATCGCATAATCTCTTATCGTCTCTGACAAGTAGAACTAATTATATCCCTTTGAAATTTTAAGTTTGCTCTCAGTTTATGGTCTTAGGACCTTTCAGCTCAAGTGAGCTAAAAATTCTCTTGAGCTTAACAGCTCATCTGAGCTGAATTTTTGGGAAAAAAACAATAAAGGTTTCTTTTTTATATCAATTGTCAATATCTCTGTAGGCCAAACACACTCTCAAAGGATAGCCTAAGCTTCTGCAACTGGTAAAGGCTTCATTTTCCTCAAAAATCTGAAGGAAAAAATTAATCTATTTCAGTTTATATTTCAAAGTTTGCAGAGAAATTAATCAAAAATGTTTTAAATCTTTCTTTTCTGAAAATATTAAAATTTTAAAAAGGTTTTTCCATGCTGTCATATTTCATACTTATAAGAACAATATTTACAAACCTCTAAACTTGAAATTCGAAAACTATTCCCGTTGAGTCCTTTTCTGTATGACCCACTAAGACTGCCCTCTTCGGGATTCACTGTTGGTATAAGTTAAGGCTGATGAAATATTCAGCATTTCATGGAGTAGGCCATGATGATATTTAAGTAAAAACAGCCAAGATACAATATGTATCAAAAGGAATGTGTAAATTATCATACTGTGCAACATTATATGTTAAACAGATGCCCATGAACCAAAATGTTCACCTGTGTACCTGTGTAACTATGGCCTTTCTGTTCTTCATCAGCAGATATTTTTACAATATATTTCTTTCTCATAACATAATAATTTATGACCCCATCCTACATTTAGACTTAATGATTTGAAAAAAACTTGAATCTAAACATGGTCAAACAAAATAATTAGTTTGGGTCGGCTTCATTTTAAGTGGTACGTCTTATAGGCAAAGCTTTTGTGAGAGTAGCAAATACAAAAGCGTGAAATATAAAAAGCAAGTTTTCAATTTATTACTAACCTTTGAACTTGAAACTGGTGCATTGATTAAATATCTTGCAAATCCAATACACAATGTGGTATCTTTCCAGCTGACATCAGTTCTGGCCTTTGATCTTTGACCTTGACATTGGAAACAAAATATATTTGTATTTTCACTATAAATGATTGTTTGTTTTGAATGTAGATAGACAAGTTGTAGATATGAAATGCTTATAAATGAATAGTTAATTGCATCTTCTCGAGCCTTTGTCAAGCTCGGAAAAACACCTTGAATGTACATGTATTAACATCACCGAGTGTGTGTAAATTAAAAATTACAAAAATGAAAAAAATCACTTATAAGCTAATAAAAAAGAGTATATAAAAATACAAATCCAATACCCAATGTGGTGTCTTTCCAACTGACATCAGTTCTGGCCTTTGATCTTTGACCTTGACCTTGGAAAAAGGTTGTCTTGGCGCCAAATAAACTTATTCCCGGTAGACCATGGATTTTCGCTTGTCGAAGGATGCGATTGAACTGAAGTGTACCACTTTCTCCTGCACATTCTTAATTACTGCAAAATGGTTCCCATAGCCATAGACTCCAGTCATTGTCTCAAGCCACGGTCCAGAGTCCGCATATAGCTCTCTCCAGTCAGCATGTGTCGATCTGAGATACTATAAATAGTTACATTATTAATTTAATAAAATAGATGAATAAGTGATGTAAATTATCTGCAAATAATAAAAAAGAATTAGACATGTAAATTATCTGCAAATAATAAAAAAAAGATTATTACAAGACATGAAAGAATATACCTATCTGTAGATCTATAACCAATCTTAAAATTGTATGCACCATGGATCTGGAGTTTTGTTGATGACGCAATACAACCTAAGTCACTGCAACCTAGTACTAAGAGAAGAAAAGTAAATAAATGATCAATTGTTAAAAAAAAAAATAATGCACAGTCTATAGATTAGCAGGACAATATGAAAGCCCACCTCCTCCGTTTTTACACCCAAAAGTTCTATAATTTGCACTTGAGAATACATAAATTCTTATGAAAGTATATTATAAACAACTTGATTCTTAACGGATCCTACGAAACATTATTTGTTTTGTTCATAATTGCACAGAATTACTAATTTGTCGATACACAAAATTCGAATTTCCTCGATGAAAACTGCAGAATGTTTTCGATTATTTCAATATTTGAAATACTGTTCATATCACTTTTTAAAATAAACTCTGCATAAACTACATAATTAGAACAACAAACTAAGCAATTCATAAAGATTTACGAGGAAAAATTCACCTGTACTTACGTTATTTTGTCACTGTCAGCTGGGAGGAGCAAATCCTACAGTACACAATTTTAGCGGGTTTTCGTTGTTAGGGAAGCGCTTGCATTTGCAATCTTGACAGCGCTTGGAAGTCATACATCCTGGCGCAATGCAATCATGACCATAAATCTTGCCTGCGTTTGAAAAACACATCATGACTAAGCCAAGATTGACGCTTGACATTGCATCCTGACTTGGCCAGGATTGACGCTTGAAGAAATCTTGACTGCGTTTGGAAGTAATATATCCTGGCGCAATGCAATCATGACCGACCAAGATAGATGGTCATGTTGTCAATCCTGACTCGGTCAACATTGAATCATGACCCGGCCAAGATTGGATGGTCATGTTATCAATCTTGACTTGGCCATGTTCAGTCTTGACTGAGCCATGTTATCAATCTTGACTTGGCCATGTTATCAATCTTGACTGAGCCATGTTATCAATCTTGACTTGGCCATGTTATCAATCTTGACTGCGCCATGTTATCAATCCTGACCTGGCCAAGATAGCATGGCCATGTTGTCAATCTTGACTTGGCCATGTTATTAATCCTGACTACGCCATGTTATCAATCCTGACTTGGTCAAGATTGAATCATGACCTTGCCAAGATAGGATGGCCATGTTGTCAATCCTGACTTGGTCAGGATAAGATGGCCATGTTACCAATCTTGACTTGGTCAAGATTGAAACATGACTTGGTCAGGATAGGATGGTCATGTTATCAATCTTGACCTGGTCATGTTATCAATCCTGACCTGGTCAAGATGGTAAAAATCCTGACCTGGTCATGTTTAAATCTTGACATGGTCAGGATTGATAACATGACCAGGTCAAGATCGTTTTTCAATGAAATATATAGAACATGACATGGGGGTCCCCTATGGCTTTCCATAGTGTTGTGGTAACTTCAATAGACATGATAAGTTCAAAACTACACTGTATGTACGTATTTGTTGCAATTTGTGTTTTACAGAAGCGGTGAGTTTCTAACTCTCTCTTCTAATTTTTTTAAAGCTCCATTTCAGTGTAACTCATCTTGCTTATCGCGAAGAACGGGGCGTCTTAAAACATTACGACGAATATTTCTTTCTCGTTTCTAAAAATATGGGCGTGTCATTATGTTGTAATTGACGTTCAAAACATGATTCAGAACGTTTCATTCAAACGGAAAATTTTTCCACTTCAATGCGCTTCATTGTACATAATGAAAAAAATTATTTCTGAATATCAAGTCATGTTTCAATTTGTTTAATTTTTGGATCGGGGGCTGTGCTTATATTTTAATTATTAATACATTGCTGAAGGTAGTCAAATACGCATGTCTCCTCAAAATTTAAGGACATTGTATTTCCTCAAAGCCAATTTTCCAGTATCTTGATTTTCAAAAATTAGGTTTTTGATTAAAAAATTGGATTTTAAAAGAAAGTTTGTTATTGGATATGAGAGCACTAAGCCTCTAATTTATTTTGGTATATGAAATGGGAGAGAAGGTGATAGTCACGAAATTGATATAAGGACAGAGCCACTTTACGCATAAAGTGGTCCAACCTCTTTCAATGTTAAACTTAAATTCCCTATTGGGTCCCTACCCTAACTCCAAGGGTAACGATTTAAACAAATTGTTTTTTTTTTTAAATAATATAATTTGAACAATTCAGAATTTAGGATATTTTTTTCTAAGATTCAATTATCAAGGCCCAGTCGTTCTGGAGGAGAAGGAGTTTTAGATTCTTCCTACATATTTCAATGAAAAACGTGGATTTCTTATTGTGGTCCCGTCATACCCCCAAGGGTAATGATTAAAATAATTTAGAATTTAACATACCCCATGTTGCTTCTACATAAAAATTCAGTTTTACTGGACCAGTGGTTCTTGAGTAGAAGATTGTAAAAGATTTTTCTCATATATTTCATTGTTAAACTTGGATTCCCCTTTGAAGCCAAGTTCTACCACTGGGAGTCCTGACTTGAAAAAAATATACACTACCCCAGGACATTTCAACATAAATCTCAAGTTTCCTGACCTAGTGATTCTTGAGATCTTAAAGATTATCCTATATACATGACATTGTATTTTCAATGTAAAACTTGCATTCCCAATAGAGGCCATGCCCTATACCCGGGATCATTATTTGAACAATTTAGAATCTTCGTTACCTAAAAATACCCAAGGATATTTCCAAATACGTTTGGCATTTCTCGCCCAGTGTTTCTTAAGAAGAAGATTTTAAAGATTTTTTCCTATACTGTAGATCACTATATTTTCGCGACACCTAATTCTCGCGAGATAGTGCTTGACTCTTTATTAGCGAGACATAATTTTCACGAATTGTGGTTATTCCTCAATATAATCTCATTGAATACTATTATATGCGAGAATGGAATTTTCGCGAGCTCTCTATCTCGCGTAATTACACGAAAGTAAAGTTCTCGCGAATAAAAAGTGATTTACAGTATATTTCAATGTAAATTTTCCCTTTTTAAAATCATTTCCCAATTGAGGCCATGCCCTATCCCGGGGGTCATAATTTGATCAATTTATAATCTACACTACCCCAGAATGTGTCCACATACGTTTACCTGTCTCAGTTGTTCTTGGGAAGATTTTTTACCGACTCTGCCCTATTTTCGTCTTTTTTAATTATCTCCCCCAAGAAAGGAGCTTGGCCCTTCATTTTAAAAGTTTAAACATCCCTTCACCCAGGGATGCTTTATATAAAGTTTGGTAAAAACTGGCTCAGTGGTTCTTTAGTAGAAGTTGAAAATTGGAAAAGTTTACAAACGTGCTGACAGACAAAATGTCATTTTTTCACTAATTCATCATTTTCTTCCCTTGGAAGAAGCCAAATCCCTTTATTTTAACAAACTTTAAACGCATTCAGTAAAGGATACTTTGTGGCAAGTTTGGTTGAAATTGGCTCATTGGTTCTAGAGAAGAAGATAGATGAAAATGTGCAAAATTACGAAAACAACACCGACGACAACAACGACGACGACAAACAACGGAAGAAATTTGATAAGAAGATCTCATTTTAGCCTTCGGCACAGGTGAGCTAAACTACTTACAAGTACACGTACTATTAATTGGTAAGACACTTAGAGGGGTAATAGGGAATTATTTTGTGTTCTTGAAAAAATGCATATTCGGAGAGGCGTAAGTCGAACCTTATATGTATTTTCAAGGAACCCAAATATTTGTGTATTACTCCTCTAAGTGTCTACAAAACGAATTTATCCTGTCAACGGTTCACTGAACACTTAAATAGTCTCAATAAATCGTTTTCGCTCTGGAAGCAAATCGTTCTGTGTTCTGTCCATTGTTGTTGATGTTGCTATGTTGTCGTCTGACACACTGTATTGACATTTTATGTAGCTCCATGCATAGTCACGTGAAAAAAGTATATTGATGATGTGTGGTTAGAAAATTCATGTACGTTTAATTTCTGGTGGATACCTGTAAGTCCACATCTAAGGTCGGAATTACCCACTATAAAATAAATATTATGTGGAACTAATACTATTCTGTGTTTTTTTTAATTTATTGTTAGTTTTTCTCCCTTAAATGGATAAATTGTTGTCTTTTATCTTTTCGTGTATAACTATGGTTTTAATTAGCAATTAGTCTTTGTTTTAACTTTCTTTTTCTTTCTGCTTTGACATTTACTGAAGCCGAACTTGCTATACCTCTTTCTTTTCCCAAAAAACATTTTAAAGGCTTTGAAAATTCCTGAACAAAGTACAAATTTAAAATGGGATCTATCAATCTAATTTCCGTGTTATGGAATAGATAGGAAGGAAAAATATCTCTTTTTTTAATTGTAATTTACATAAGTTAAAAACATACACTATAAGTGTTAATGAAACGATATGGAGCTTATTTATTTTTTCTTTGTATTAGCTTTTCAATTCTGGTTTTCCTTGACAAATGGGTTAATAAATGGACCTGGGATTTGCTGGTACAACAGGTAAGTAAATATATTAAGTGAATTTATTAAGTACAGTAAGTGTAACAAACTGCCTTTAATTTGATGTTCAACTGTAGGAACAAATCAGGATGTTGCCAAAATTATAAAGAAGTGGATGGCTCTTGTCAGTGTAAGTTGAATTCTCTTTTTAAAAAGGTTCTTGAAATATCACATGAATATTTGAGTAATAGTTTACAGATAATTTTAATTTAGGTAAGCCAGGTTTGGTTACTTTGCTTATTTGCTTTACGAAAGAATTTTTAATTCATATTCAGGCGCCAACACTCGTTGATATGGAGTGGGCTGCAAAATTAGAGCCGTACTCGGCTTTTACTGCCTTTGAGCAGTTAGGGATTTTTTCGAGCCAGCAACTTTTGTCACACAAGGTCTTGGAAGGTCTCTCATTGGCCCTTCCCTTGCTACTTGGCTGACACCTAAATCAATGATATCAATGTCGTCTCTTGGTCATTCTGACTGACGTTTTTAATACATTGGTCCATTATTTATACACTGAATTGTCGACGGATTTTTTCGTTATTTCCCGATCATGACAAGGAGCACACGGCGCGTGTGACAGGTTGGCAAGTGATGCTCACTCCTCCATGGCACCCACATCCACCTCTGTTGTTTTGGAGGTCTGTGTTTGCTTTGCTTCTATTTTGTATTGTTTTATGGACTTTTGATATTGAATACTTTTCGTTATCTCCTTATGTTTTGTAAACTCATGAGCAAGATCTTTTCTCATCTAATATGCCGAACGACATTAGAAACAAACGTAAAGCTTCTTAAAAATTTAAATAGAGGGAAAAATAAATTCTAATTGTTTGCCTGACTTGAAAACCATCTAGTTTTAAGGGTTCATAAAAAATATTCTCATGTGCACTAAAATACTGAAACGGATGAATACTGCAATTCATATAAACTAGAAACACATTTGCAAGTCTGTTCTGCAGCAAGTCAAATGATGAAAAGTCGGTGTGTATAGAGCAATTATTACAAAAGCCAAAAGAAATTACAGATTCTACAATGTTAGAATGTTGCAGAAGGCGGGGCCTTAAACATAATTTACAAGAGGGACAATGAACCACAGAGAAGGGTCCTTCGCCCCACCCGAAATTGTGCTTAAATTAGTAAATGTATACAGTTTAATGATGATGTAAATACTTTTAAACAAAACTATTAACTTTTTGGGTCAATGAAATAATAAATAAATCAATTTTCAAAATTCAAGCTTCAAGGGTTGTTTATAAAAATGTATCTGATATGGACTTTTACAATACTTATCAAATCAATGTCTGATTTGGTTTTGATGCAATTCTCATTACAACAACTAAAATATCACTAAAGTATCCAGCTACACATTATTGAAACATTATTTACACTCTTTATGAAATTGGAAATGGCTCCACAGTTTACAGACAACTCAAAAGTCATTAATGTACATGTACGTACTAGGATAGAAACATTATATATCTTGATAAAAGGATTTAAAAGACTCAAAGAGATATCGCTGATATAAAATATTAGTATAAGTCATAAATATCATACTGGAAATTTAGAGCCGTACTCAGCTTTTGCGGTCTTTGAGCGCTCATGTGAGTGCTGTCTTTTATTGCTATCTTTTTCGTCCGTCGTCGTGCGTCATGTGTTAACATTTGATCTTTTTCAACTTCTTTTCTGACACCTCTCAAGCAATGTCGGCATATAGAATCTATGGGTGAAGGGGAACAAAAATTGTGAATTTCATGGTCCCTGTCTACCCCACGGCCTGAGAGGTTGGACCAAAACCACTAAAATTAATGAAATCTTTAAAATTCTCCTTTCATCCTGCGCATCAAGCTGTTGGCATGATTTGAAAAAAATTGATTACATAGTGAATATGTTTTAATTCTTTTAAAAAAAATTTCCTCTTCTTGGCCTAGGTATAAGAGAAACTAACTTCATATATAGATATGATGGGCAAAGATGCCTCTATCAAAATTGACACTCATGATTAGCAAGGGGGGCTTTTCCAAATTTGTTTAATGTGTGGCCCCTAACTCAGGGGTTTCTGTGGGATGGGGCACTACCGATCATTGCTTATTTTTACTGATTAATTGAAATCAATTTTTAGTTCTCATACTCCGTCTATTGGTTAAAAAAACAAACTTAGCATACTAAAAATTAATGTATAGTTATGGTGAGCATTGGTGCCACTATTATTTAAAATTGTGAATATCATGGATTCTGGTTTAAAACACGAACCTAATTCAATTGCTGTGAAGTTGTTACATGATGTCCAAGTGATCTATAAGCTCATGGACCTCTTGTTACTGCTTAGTTAATGACATATCTGAAATTTTCTCTTGGTATAAATCCTTTTCTTCAGTAGAATGCCTTAAATTAATATCAGAGTATTGTGTATGTGTTGGACATTTAAGGACGAAAAATCCTCATGAGTAAGAACAAACCAAAAATATGTATAAGTTATAAACACCAGTGGCAAGTATCCATAGTAATTGATGTTAAGTTCTGGGTGTGGTAAATCTGAAAAAAGATTGAGATAACAGGTTCTTATTTATCAATTGGAACTTAAGGGAGAATCACGTGTAAGTAGTATCTTCCCACTCCACATCTCTAGATAAGAAAAAACTTAAGTACTGAGTGATATTCCCTCCAAGCTGCTTTAATAATCATTTATATGGTTAACTCAGACAAAGTAAAAAGGAAAATCCATATATTCCTCGTGAAAACCTGATATACATGTTACGTAGGAAATATCTATCAAATCTCAAGAACAACTAGGTCATTATTAGCCATATTTATACAAAAGCAACATTAAGTATTTTAGAATCAAGTCCTTTTAAATTATGACCCCAGGGTCAAAGCTATGCGTTAGAGTATGTAGGAATCAAAAATCTGCTTATGAACAGCAGAGCCATGACTAGTCATATTATAATAGAAGAATCTTTATGTAATATAAATTCAAATTTAGGATTGGTAGGGTGGTGCCACAATGAGCAAACATGGTTTGACATAGGAATGCATAGGGGGAAATATCTATATAAAAAAAATGTATGGAAGCATCCTGATTGAGCAAATGTAAATTTAAACTTTTTCAATATATGTGCTGAACTGATGTCTGTTTCTTTCAAGCCAGTGTGCTCAGGTAAACGATGTCACCCATATGCCTCTTGTCTTTAGTGATTAAAAGAAATTACAGACATATTTGACAATTTTAAAAAAGGATTGATATTATTAAGGTTTAGATTATATTACGATATTCTTTTCTATAGAAACATAATTAGTTTCTTTTTTCCCCTTTCAGCAACTTAACTGAATAAAAATGATTATGATGAATACTCAAAGTTATATTTGTCTTTGTTCTTTGCGAAAAATTAACTAATTAGGTTTTACTTTTAATTATCAAAATTGTAATGCACTAATAAATGAACGAATTTTGTATCAATTTTGGATTCTTCTAATCTGTTAATTACCAGCAATGGCACATTGCACGTTTTTCGTACAAGTAAAATACAATACTATTCATAAACAAGATGTGTTTGTGAAACAAAGAAACCCATATGGCAAAATAGCGAAGATTTAACTTTTCTTAAATGCAAATTAAATACATGTAGGTACCCAAAGTAAGGTCGTCTTACAAGGAATCACGAATAAGTTTTTGAAAGGTAGGTCAAACTCAAGTGTCAATGTCAAAGGGTCAACGTTGTTGGTGGTTTTCTAAGGTCTTGTCAAAAGGATTACATATGTGAAGTATGAAAGCTATAGCTCTAACTTTTATAAATTATGACCAAAGAACTTTATTCGGTAATAACCGATATTTGCCCCCCAGACCAAACTTTGATGGAGAAATATTTAATTATGTTCATAAATAGGGGGGTATATATGCTGACTTCAACGCACTGAATATTTTCATAAGTAATGACGTCATATGTACGAAATGACTTCACAAACATGACGTAAATTTCAGTTTTTTTATGAATTCTACTGAAAAATGTACATATTTCGTCGATATTTTGATAAAAGTCACCAAGCGCATGTGTGTTCAGGCTCAATATTTTGATATAATGTGTAGAATGATAATACCAATGAAATATGTATATATTGTCCCTTTGAAATTTTGTCCATTTTGTCCTCTTTCTGAAAAAGGATATAAAATCGGACAAGTTTGTGACGTCATAAAAAAAATTGTTGATAAACTGCTTTGAAACTATGTTCTGTTAATTTATATTTCTCATACAATCTATTGAATTCAGCACATTTCAGGAAGTTTTCAAAATCTGACTTTTGTGTGTGTAGGGGGGGGGGCAAATACTCGTATATGCAATATACCGCATATAGTTCTTTAATGGGTTTTTTTAAAGATAATAAGTCAAACCCCAAGGTCACGTCAAAGTTTTGGTAACCAATGAAAGGACTTGTCACAAGCACAAAATTTTTGAAGTATGAAATACCTAGCCCTAACCCTTATGGTCTAGGTTTGTTTTTATAAAAGTCAAACTCACAGGTAAAGGGTTACAGTTCTTGGCATCCAACGAAAGGTCTTCTCACAAAGATTACACATGTGAAGTATGTGCAAATAAAAAGTTATAGCCGAGATTAAAGTTTTTTTAAAGTACGCAAATCTCCAAGGTCAAGGTCTAAAAGTCAAAGTTGTTGGTATCCAGTGAAAGGTCTTGTCAAAAAAAAACTTAGTTATATGAAGTATGAAAGTCCTAGTATTAATCGTTCAAAACATTATGGACGAAATAAAAGTTTGAAATGTTTGTGTAAAGGTTTGTCAAACTCTAAGGTCAAAAGGATTTAGTTGTAACAAATTAAAGGTCTCGTAAAGAGGAATAGACATGTGGAATATAAAAGTCATTACTCAACTAAATCAAACGTTATGGGCAAGGTTAATGTTTTTTGCGGACATACAGACAGAGAGACAGCTAGACAGACAGACGGACGGACATGACAAAAACTATATACCCCCGCATAAAAGTTTAAGTTGATTCCTTCGTAATTTGTATTTCATTAAAATTGTGTTTTACAGACATACGTGGACTCATTGACGGACCTGGGGTATGCAAAGACAACGGGTAATTACATAATACAAAGTAATTTTCGAAATTTGTATTTTTGCAAGCCATTTATCTTTTTTGTAATGTTCTACATTAGAGGAAATCTTAGATGTTGCACGAACTATCAACGAAAAGACACCGACTGCATACGTAAGTAGAAACTGCGTTAAAAATAATAAGAACAAAGAACTTTCATTTTTTTCATTTACTTCCATGAATCTATATATAAAGAAATTCATAAGCTTTTTTGTTCACGTGTATTTATAAATTAAATTAGCTAATTTTTGTGTACTAGTACTCAATTATTTGAAAAAAAGAAATAGAGCTTTAGTTGATGAATTTATGGAAAATTTATTTAAAACTGCAAAAGAAAATCTAAACAAAAGAATTAAGGCTAAGAAATTTGGTTGACTGTACACAAAGATTATTAATTTGTCATTATTGTTTACCCTTAGTAAAGCAATTTGAATAGAATTCACCCAAAATTAAAATGTAAACCAACACTGAATTACAAAAAACTTAACGGATTTCCTTTAAACAAGGTATTAACAAGAAAACATTGATGTAACCAACTTTTTATTTATTATATATCAAAACACAAAACTATATTTTATAAAGATTCACTTTTTGGAAGTAAATAAATTGTGTATGTTGTAATTCATAAAGGGAAAGACCGTTCTGATTTATAATCTTTTTAATGTTTAGATAACTCTAATATCTCATAACTTCTCCCACCAAAATCCCATACACAAACACTTAAGCTTATATGTATAGAGGAGCCCTGTACTCCTGGCTGCATTAAGATGAAGAAATTAAACAGCGATGGTAAGAAGACACTGCTTCGTGAGATCATAAAAACAACAAAGATTTTTTTTAAAATAAACCTTCTTCATACAAGTAATATTCTTTCAATCTATGATATACATGAATTTACATGTACAACTTTCAGTGTTATCAATGATTTGAAATTTTTCCAATGACGATTCAGACAAAGCTTTTTTTTGTTCAGACAGCTATAATTGCCTTAGTTCGAAATATCTGACATTTTCGAGGTTTTTCACGATTTTGATATTTTGCCAAGAAAACGTTAAATCTGGTGCCTTTACGATAACAGGTACATGTAATTCGCCGACCCCAGCTGAAGGTGGCATTCTCGGGTTGATTTTCGATACTTGCGAAGCGAATTAAATGCCGAATTCGCAATTTATTTATGATACAATGCCTTAAGTAGTACTCACCAACATCATTTTTATTGGTAGTTCATAAATATTCAGCCCTGTGGAAATATTTAAGAAATAAAGTCCGTGTTTTCGGCTTTTATATTTCAAACAACATTTCTCGACCTCGGAGGTTATCCTGCATCATTCACGACAACAAGGACTTTATTTCTATTCTACTAAGATCGCTAAAATACGGTTGATCGTTTCCTTTATAGAGAAACGAAATAGGTCACTATGTCTCGATTAGGCTTTTAAATTTAACGCCAGAAGGAAAATTTGTTTTATTACCTGTATATGGAATGCAGACGATTTGAGCTTTCGTTGCATAAAAAATAGTTCGTTCTATGTATTGATTGATTTTAATGAATATACAAAAACAAAATCATGTTCCTGTTTTACTGCTTTATTGGGACTTTTAAAATCACGTTGTTTAAATGTGTAGGGAGGTCCATGGAATAGCCCGTTTAGCTACATTTGAATAAAAACGACATTCATCAGCAACTTTTTGCAATTTACAGTGTTTATACTGCAAAAGACGACACATCGATGTTGTTTAACAAGTATTTTATTCTACAGCCAAACACGCATTTGAATTGTTCGGGTTTGATACGTGTTTCTAATCTGATAATTTTTTGATGGCGTTCGTGATTTATTGGAGAATAATGTCTTATCTCAGCAACAACCGTGATAGAATTTATCATAACTTCGAGTTTCGTGAATTTTCTGATATGCAAGATTTGTAACGAAATATGGAGTGATATTTTCTTTTCATCAATACTGGTGAATACTAGAAGTATTGTGGTATAGATAAATTGTAAGTTCGGCATTTAATTCGGTTCGCAAGTATCGAAAAAAAAAGCTCCGGTTGGAGACGACGAAATTCACAACTGTCATAATGGCGCCGGTTCTGACGTTTTTGTGGCACATAAAATGTCAAAATCGTAAAAAAAAAAAAAAACTTGGAAAACGTCAGATATTTCTATACAGCTATAATCGACTCGTTTTTCCTTTTAACGTAGGGGTCGATACTAAATGATGTTCTAATTTAGAAGCTTCCGTCAATATTAAGATTAGTGAATAACAAAAACTTTATCTTGTAAGAAATGTATTTTGTGTTCTGAATTACATAAAACTCGTACATTTTCGGTCGCACGCGTGGTGCAGTCGTTTGAGCGTTAGAGCCTCTGCTCTAGATAGAGTCGCGAAGTAAGGAATTGATCTTTATGTCGCGGGTTTTAATCACACTGTGGGACGTGCAGGCCGGTCCTTCCGATGAGACCGTATAAACCGAGGTCCTGTTTCGCAGAAAGTGCTGACAAGAAAAAGATCCCTCCCTGCTCAATGGCCCTGGGTGCCGAGTGTAAGGCAAAATGTGTAGCTTTCCACCGGCAAGCTTAAGTGGTGGCGTCTCTGTATGAGTGGAAAAATATCGAGAGGGACTTAAAACAATATACAATCAATCAATCCTATATTTTAGTGGTGTCAAACTTTTGTGGTCTGAGGGGGAAAATGGTTTTGTTGGAATTTAATTTCGAAGATGAAGAATTGTTGAGGACGTAGTTAAATCTGTAAAAAATCAAATTTCATAGTGGGATGGACATAAATTCGTGGGTCTCGTCATACATGTACCTTAAAAACCATAAAAATTTAACCTGCAAGGAAATTAGTGAGTTCACAGTACGTGAAAACGATGGGATCAGGTGCCTCGTAAGACAATGTTAAGGAAGCTCTAAGCACTAACAGAAACTGCTCTTTGGACTTTCAGAAAAATATATCATACAAAGGTGTGCATATTGATACTTTTTCATTTATTTATAAGAAAGGGTACGTGCCTTGTTTCCTCAGGGAAAATGTTCAAAGGCAATGGACTATTTGTGAGCAGAAATTAATGCTGATTACTTACATTGGGAAAATTAATGAAAAATTGTATTCAATTACTTATATATGATCTTATATAATGCTAAATATGTTTAATTCTTTAAGAAAATGTGTTAATATTTGTAAAGAACAATTTTGATAATCTTACTTCTAAGGGCAGATCACTCTAAGTGCATAAAACTATTCTATAAGTGTATCTCTTTAGTGTGAAGTGTTTAGAGCTTCCTTAAGGTATCCATGAACGGCACACCGTTCAACCCCGTTGTTGATATTATATATGGTCTGATGTATATAAAATTGATCATTCCTTACCAACAATTTAACAAAACGATTTGTTAGGTAAATTTAATTGTCTGAATGTAGGGGTTGTACAGGGAAAAGGCTTTGCTTTAGACCTATAATATTATATTGAAACTCTAAATATAGCTTTGTTTTCTGTACATATATTTTAGAAGGCGCTGTTTATAAAAACCAATATATCGAAATAAAAATTATAAAATGTCGAAATGAAAATTCAGTTCTACTCGAGTGATTTATTATGTCCCCGCTTGAAAAGCGGGAAGGTATGTAATGATCGGCATGTCCCTCAGTACATCCGTCCATTCGTTATGCTTTGTGGTACCCACCTCTTGTTCGCAACTTCTCCTATATCACTGAATGAAATTTAATGAGTCTTTCAAAGAATGTTCGATACATATAGTGCCATTTTTCACCTCATATTTTATTTTTTCTCGGACACATATTTCGGGTTTCCCTGAGCAAAACTTTCACACTACCATTATTTCTATAATATTGAAGGGTACCCGCCACTTATCTGCAACTCCTCTTTAACATTAAATACAATTCAATGTTACTTTCACAGATCCTTTATTACATAATGTCATGACATTATGTACCTCCTATTTTATTTTTTGATCTGACACTTATTCAGGGTTTCCAAGAGTAAAACATGGACTTTACAGTTATAACTAAATGGGAGGCAGGGGTATCATTTAGTAAGCCCAGTGTTCATAGTACATGTACTTCTATTTTGAAATGAAACTTTTGACGAGTTTATTTCTTAATCTTATCTGTGCATTGTGGCAACGCACTTTGAAAAAATTTTTCAAAGTGCGTTAAAATTAGGACAAAATCAACGCATTCTGAAAAAGTTTTTCAAAGTGCGTTAAATTTGGGACCAACTCAACGCACTTTGAAAAATTTTTTCAATGTGCATTAAGAGTCTACATCAAAATATTTTACCATCGAGACACTTAACGCACTTTGAAAAAAAATCATATTTTAGTCAGGGAAAGATTTTATTTGTTATTTATCTTTCAAAAAACTAAGCCTAACCCTAAACTCAAAAATAAATTGTTTTTTACTCCCGTCGAAAAGAGGAGAAGACGGGTATAAGATCCCTCAGTCCGAATCTTTATCTTTCCAATACATAGGTGTCGGTAACAAACGGGGGAGGGGAGCAATAAACCTAAAAAGGGTACGCTGCATTTCCAATGCTTATACGATGTATATATCTTTCCAAAATAAGTGGGGGGGGGGTTTAGCCCCCCATCCCCCGCCCTTGCCCTTCGCCCAGTCTCGATGTCTATGCTATACTCAAAGCATTCATATAATTATGTATTTACCTAACTGGTATGACGTTGAAAACTTTCAATAATAAATGAGTTAATTAAAACAGATAAAAACTAGAGATTTTTAAGTACAGTAAAACGTATGAGAGAGAAAGAATTTTCATAGTTTTGAACAATCCAATTGGCCCCTTTTTATTATGATAAATGCTAAGTTGCTTGAAGCTGTCCTCTGTTAGTGCCCCCCTATACACCTTTACATCTACTTAGAACTAGAATTAAAAAAAGAGAAACGAATTTATGAACTTAAACAATCGTCACTCTTTTTTTAAGACCCTTTAATTTTCCCTTTTATTTTATCAAAACCTTAAATATTTAAAACGTCAATATCTCAGGTCCTACGGTGACTTTATCATAAAAAAGTTATCAAATCAGGATGTGTGATTTATCATACCGATTATTCGAAGGAATATTGATCAATCTTAACATTTTTTTTCAAAGTGCGTTAATATGGTCGATATTAACGCACTTTGAAAAAAAATATTTTATTCAAAGTGTGTTAGCTTGGTCCCAAATTTTAACGCACTTTGAAAAATTCTTTCAAAGTGCGTAATTTTTCAAAGTGCGTTGTAACAGTGCATACTATATCTTTCAATGATTTCAATTTTCTACGGGTAATAGGAGGGTTTGTTGTTATCATTCTAGTAATGTATTGGTTGTAATTACAATAATGTATGACGGACTGATTACAGGTATCATTTAAGCACAGCTTGCACTTTAAGTTTTAGTTAATCAGCCTTTCAAGAATAACGAAATAAGTTACTGAAAAAAAAACATATAGAAATACGTAAATGACGACCAGACAGAAAAAAATAACTGACACTGAAAAAGGAGTTTTGATAGGTTCAAAAACATCTTGTATTCAAAATATTCTCTTTTAATGTTACAGCCTGTGAATTAGGTACATATGGTGTTAACTGTACAGGAGGACCTTGTAAATATGGATACTACGGATTTGGCTGTTCAAAAAAATGTCACTGTACAACTGACCAGTTATGTGACAGAAAGATAGGATGTGCTCGACATTTAAATACTACAAATTGTAAGAAAACATTATTTTTTGCTTATTATAAAAAGTATGGAAAATCTTTGTTTATGCACTTGCAATGTGTTTATTACATCCATTTTACAGTAACTGACAATAGTGATATTTTCATTTTTGCATGGTGGGCTTGAAGATTAGGTTGGATTGGGATTAAAAATGTTATTTAAGTTAAGCTTTACTAGAATAAATATGTATGTTTTAAAAATTAAGATTAAGCACCCTGCGAGGTGCTGTAGGGCTTATTATGATGCATTTTTATAGAGGGAGCTTAAACAGGGCCCCATCCCTGCCCTACATATACATTGTATATATATCACCTGTTCATTATTAAAAGTCTGGGGGTTTAATTTTGAAGAAAAAAAGCTTTATATCCAATTTTCCTGTATTGAGAGAGGACAAGTATGGCTATTCTCAGGTTGCTTTTGCTTAACCTCATGTATAAATTATCAAAAACGAAATTGAGTGAAAATTTCATCTATGGAACTAATAAATGACTAAAACTACATTACATAATACATAAACTTAATAACAATAAATGGCTGGGCTTAAAACAAAATATAACATTGACAAATTGACTAGTTACACATGACTTAATTCTTCCTGATCACATGACACAAAAACAGATATTTACTAGAGTATTATTGTTTCTAAATAACGAGCATGGAGACAAAACATCCTTTAATTTGTGATTAAAGTACCATTCAAAAGTTTGGATTTGAAATCATATGACAAATGAGATGAAATCATCTGATCTAGTGCCAGTTTTGTTATCTAAAATTATGCAGTAATACCACATGTAGAGTCAGTCGCACATATTCTAATAGCATGATTCAATACTTAACCGTATGATCCGAGTACAATCATTTAGTAATTCAAGGAAGGCTACTATCAAATCAGTTAATGATATATGGCTTTAACTATCTCATTAACAAAATTATGGCCGTTTTATTGACATTGATTACCAGTACAACCGTAGTTGAGTTTAATTTCACTGATATTTTTCAACCAAATGATCTCTTTTTTGGGAGGAGGGGGGACTTATTGACGTAATATTACTATCTGTTACTGATTAAAACTGAGGGCTTATTTGTTTAACAGGTAACGCTAACTCCTCCTGGACAACTGTGATCACACCTTGAGAGTTTCCAGGGGCCCGTGTTTTTACTCTGTTTTCAATTCGCAACAATTTTTTTAAAAGGATTATTTTAATTGCATCCAATATTTTATTCAAAATGAGAATTGCTATCCTATATGAAAAAATTGCATTTTTTTTATTTTGGTGGGTAGGGAAGGGTTGGGGGTCATGTGCTTTTATTATAAAGCTTCCTTACTTTTCTGCATATTTATTGACTAAAAAATATTTGTTTTGTGGACAAAGCTGAAACAGGTAGAACGGTTCCAATTGGTGAAAAAATGTTATTCATTGTCTTGGGTGTCTTCCTAACTGTTGGAATTTTTTCGACAATTATCATCGTCCGTAAGAGGTATATTGTCTTCTTTCTCCTACTCCTTTTCTTCTTCTTCCTATTAAATTCAATAAGGTCTCGGTATTACAAGCACATGATTTATGTAGAATGTAGGTAATATCAAACCAAAAATAATTCATGTACAGATATTTGTATATCAATATTATCCGTGTTTCAGACAATATATGAAAATAACTCATTATGGTAGGATTCTCTCTGGGTTCTGACTAGATTAAATATTATAAGTATATTTGCTGATATGTCATATATTTAATCATAAAAGATTAAAAAGATCATATTCTTCATCACAATTGTACAACCTCCGACAGAAATGGTAAAGTGAGTTTGAAATCTACCAGGGACTATATTTTTGGCGGAATGGTGGCGTATGAAAATATCTTCTTTTCTGCTTCTCAAAATAACTATACAACAACGAATTTCGTTACAATTTTTAAACATTCAAAGACTTGAAGATATTTTCAATTGTAAGTTAAATCAATGAAAAGCCGGGACTAAAGTTTTAAAATATATAATTAAATTTTAATATGATTTACAAAACAAACTACAGCTATGAAAGCTTTCAAAAACTTCCAATCTAACTGTGGATTTCAACAAAAAAAATCGTTAAAAAGTGTTTTTCCTCTATGATGGTTACATGTATATCTTTTAATGCAAAAAGAAAAACATTTTATAATTTGAAATTAAAGAGGGCATTACATGATTGACAACAGATATTAAACGGTGAAAAATCGTCTAGCTGGAACCATCACTCATTGATATTGTCTTCTTGATTCTATGAAAATTACATTAGTTTTTAAATAGAAGAAATATGAGAAGAATCCTTCCTTGAAACATTTTACATACATGGAGCTCGAATTTAGATATAATAATATTATAATTCACATTTCTCCAAATTTGTAGAATAGAAGAGAAATTCAAATATTTTTATAGTGTGTTTGTTTTTCTTCAGAATGAAATCTCAAGGAGGGTCAAGTTACATTGGTTCTATGTTCTTACCACAGTTTTATGCTAATCCTGATCGTGAAATACGAGGAGATTCAAATGCAGACTATGAAGCTGTTGATACTCGATCGAAAATAGAAGGAACCGAAAAAAGTCCTGTATGCAATGATCAAGGAAATGAATATTTGGAAATAATTTGATATATATTATAATATATTATAATATATTAATTTACATTTTTTGTTAGTAATCTAATTTTTATTTTAGGTATTTTAATTTTGACAATATAGAAAAACCATAACAAACTCACATACTTGCAATGAATACTGTAAAGCAAGAAAGCTCACAAACTTATAAGAGATTATATTATCAGCCTGACAAAATTATTTTTATTAATGTATCAACAATAATGAATTTTCACCATTCAAGCATGGCTTGTTTTTTCTTGCATTAATGCTATTACAACTTCAAATCCTACAATGCGGAAAATGTAATAAATAAATTATTTTTTATCATTTACAAGTTTCAATAAATTACTTGTTCACTCAATAGTTTTTCTTAATACTATGTAGGTCGAGTCCCTGTGGGACGTGGAGACGGGTCCTTCGGATGAGACTGTATAAACCTAGGTTCCGTGTCGCAATAGGTGCTGGCACGAAAAAGACCCCCATGCTCAATAGCCCTAAGTGCCGATCGCGAGTATGACAAAATTTGTTGCTCTCCACCGGCAAGTGGCGGCGTCTCCGTACGAGTGAAAAATTCTCAAGAGGGACGTTAATCAACATACAAGCAATCAATCAATCTTAAAACTATGAACAAGGAGTTTAGCAAAGCTGCAAATAGCCAGATTGGTCTTCTTTCACTGCAGGAAAAAATTGTGGATATAAAAGTAAATTAATATATTAGATGTCAACAAATAATTGAGTACTCGACTATTCTTCGATCAAACCCTTATATACCTTGTGTTTTTAATATCTGTGGAAAGATTTTTTATGCATGAAAAATTATTTTAGCAAATAAACAGCATTCCATTCTTACATTTACATATATCTGTAATGAAGCCTTATCAGGCGACAACCTTGTTATTTCGAAAACGCAAGTATTATTTTTGCACATCTTGAAATTGCGATTGCAATTTTCACGTAGAAGCGTTAAAAAGCGTTAGCTACATTTTTTTGCTTTTAAATCATTGTTGAAATAAAGTAAGGAAGTCAACGAATATTCGAATATTCATTCGATGAGTTGATATTCGAATAAAAATATATGATTCGAATATTCGGTTCTTAAGCATACAGGCATTTAATAGAGAGAAAAATCTGGCAAGTTTTATTTGAAATTGAATCAAGGTCGTACTGGTGACAAGGAATAAAATTTGATTTTTGAAAAAATTAAAGACATCCCTGTTGGATCACTTGAATAGTGTAACTATTGAAATACTAGTAAATTATTCTTTGATCATTGAATTAGTGGTATAACAGTGCCATGTACTTACAATCAGTTTGTATTGTTGTAAGGACACACTTTTACAGAAAACACATGGATCCCTTGTTTATGTAAATGACATTAAAATAATTATCAGGAAATTAATCAGCTAAAATTGATTGACTTTAATTTTTCTCCAGTAGATAATTGTTTAGCGTGGTATAAATTTGTAGGAGTAGGCAGGGTTCTCCACATTTGAAAATTTAACCATGGAGGAAGCTGTGCGATGGCGAAATGTGGCCGAAAACACGAATGCGTCTTAGACTTCCTAATCTTCATTAATCAATGATTGGTTTTACAATTTTTAAACTTAGCCACTGCAACACAATACAATGAAATAACTAACACCTTTTAAAGTTAAAATAATAATAATTAAATTGAAAAAGATTTATTCTGTATCTTACTTCACGAATGTACCAACATTTGTCTAAAACTGTAGTAACCTTCAGAAGGAATTTAAAGAAAAATTGTTGATACAGGTAGTTAGTAACCATGGCAATACTTTTCAGAAATTAATAATTATAAGAACTGTAGCCTGTTGTATAAAATGAATTGGTAGTATTTTTTTAAAGTTAACACACAAAGGAGCATTTGGACCAATGCCCCTTTTTCTAAACGTTTTATTTTTCTAGATATTGCTTTTATCAACAAGTTTTGTTTATTTCTCCACGTGCCCAGTGCTAAAGATAGCGCCACGCGATGTTTCATAACAACGGGAAGTAACTATAAAACTAAGACTAAACCTAAGACGGCGATTGAGACGTAAGCTCTATGCACATTTAATAAAAAATATAATAAAGTTAAAGCTTAAAAACAGAGCATGAGAAACTGATTAAATACAGAGGAATATGAAATTTTTACAGAGTTTTTTTTTCGGGCACAGAAAGTTGAATCGCAAGCATGACGATTCTCATGCTCGTAATTGCCATCTTTTATAAACCCGTTATATAGAGTCTAGTCGAACCCTCAAACGGGGGTAAACGGAAGTAGGAAAACCGTACCCTCAAACAGGGGTATGCGCATGCGCAGATACTAAAAAAAAATGGATTATTTCGTAGCTCTGTATGTACTCAAATTTGATAGATTAAAGGTGTTTAAAGAGATTGTATTGCGAAAAAGTATATGTTTATTGCAAAAATTGAGACTTTTTCTCTCCCAAAATTAGCGTATTCTGTGCCTTGACCTCCATGCTTGATACAACTAGATTTTTTATTCATGTTTTCAATTAAAAAAAATAATAAAAATGTTTTCGTTTTATTAACCTCATTTCTGAAGCACAAAGGTTTGTTTACAGGACAGAGGAAATTCGGACGTGCACACAAGAAAGTGTCGAAAAATAATAAATAACATGTTAATTACACAAGATTTCTAATAACGGGGAAGGGAATTATATGTAGTTCAACTTTAAACAATTTATTGTTTGTTTATTCATCTGTTTTATTAAATTATGAATAAAAAATCTAGTTGTATCAAGCATGGAGGTCAAGGCACAGAATATGCTAAACTTTGGGAGAGAAAAAGTCTCAATTTTTGCAATAAACATATACTTTTTCGCAATACAATCTCTTTAAACACCTTTAATCTATCAAATTTGAGTATATACAGAGCTACGAAATAATCCATCACTTTGCACGAGCATATTTTGTGGACCACACGTTTTTCCGTGAAAACGATACTTTTTTTAGTGTCTGCGCATACGCGTACCCCCGTTTGAGGGTACGGTTTTCCTACTTCCGTTTACCCCCGTTTGAGGGTTCTACTAGACTGAAAAATTTAACCATGGCGGGCCACCATGGTAAAACCCATTGTGGAGAACCCTGGTAGGTAGTGTAGACTTTGGTAAGACGATCAATTAATCTGGAACATATTAAAGAGACTTGAATTTTCCACACAAAAAAATTATGTATGCTGTACATATATTCTGTAACATTTAAAAAAAAAAAAACTTTGCATTTTGAAAACTCTACATAAAATTTTATTCCAAAATAATGACATAAAATGTATACTGGTTGACAGGAAAGTGAAAATATATATTGTATATTGCAAAATGTATTTATTTTATCGAATATTTGAATATATATTCGAATACTTCTATCGAATATTCGAATATCAATTATTGAGTATTTTGACATCCCTAAAATAAAGTATTTTTTTCTCTTATTTACATATCAATTTCGAATTACTAATTTCCATTCCAATTCCAAATAAGCAAATGTGGAATTACCAGACATTTACTACGCTTGAAAAATGTAGAGATAATTTATCATTTCGATGCCTCAAATCTGGTTTTGTTACAGAAGGATTCTCGATGCGTAAATTGTAAAATCCACAGGCGATGAAAGTGTGAATCGATACCCCTAGCTTTATTCTTAGAATTTGCTATGTTTCGCAAAATGTTTTGTCAATGTTTCGTAAAAAGCAGTTGTTGGGTTTTCCCCTTCTAGAAATAGTAAAAATGACGACTTCCGTTCATTATCATTTGAAATGATGAGTCGCCGGTGTTAAACATGAAAATCCTCAGGACTGGAAATACAATGGGACACAAATTAGCGATGTTTCAATTAATTTATAATCTTTGAAGATATTGAAACCTTTACTTCCAGTCGGTAAGTAGCTTTCATCATAATGTTTTGAGTATTTCCTACCGAGGGGTCGAAAATCGTATGTTGAAGTTGCCAACCTTGTTCTGTTTTAGTATCAGTGAGGGTGAATTTTTATGAAGGGCTAGTTTTAGCTTAAATTTTGGATTTTTCAGTTGTAATAGTTTGTGAATATATCATAGAAAAATATTTTATTCAAAAAAGTCAAAGAATCCTTCGAGTACGGAACACGGGAGGGGGGGGGTCCTGTCCCCAAGGACCTGTGATAAGAATGATAAAGCTTGTAAATAAGCATTTAAAAAGAAATATTAAGCATTTCAATCCCTTATAGGATCAAATTATCTGCCCTTAAATGTCCATCAAGTATATATCCCCGGTAATACTCTGACGTTATATTAAAGCATTTTACAGTCAAAAAGGATTGCCCAGGAGAAAGTTAAACAATTCATTAACTAAGAAGTACAGTAGATTGGCAAATAATCACGATGGTTTTAATTTCACTATGTTCGTGTTTTATAATTTCTCCGCGAAATTAAACCCTCGTCAATCCTATTATTTGTTTAAGAAACGTTTAAATGATTATACAAAATCTTAAATAATTTCTTGCAGCGTGAAATGAAAACCATCGACATTGATAATTTTTGAGAAATCGTGAAATTTTAAACACCGTGGAATTAAAACGATTTACCGTATTTGGGGGAATATAATACGCACTTTTTTCCTAAAATAAATTTCTGTGAGAAAGGGATGCGTATTTTACATCACAATGGGATTTTGATAAGTTTTTCTTTCAGGTGAAACACGGCTTTCATACGTACATACCGTAGTATTACCTAGAGACATATGCAATTTCTTTTGTTTATCGCCATATTTTAAACTTCGGAAAGTTATTGTTGGAAGGTATGCTTGTTAAAAATGTCACTTTCATAATCTTTTGATACTTAAATAACATAAAAAAGCAAGTTAAAAGTAATTTGAGCTGCATGTTGATTGTCTCCGAGTAGGCCGCCATTACCGATGTTATTTTTAGACGTTCACTCATGGCTATGCCACGTGCTTCCATAGTATTTAACAAAGATTGCATTAGGGGAAAGCGATTATCATTAAATAAAAAATTAAAATAAAATAAAAAGAATATCATGAAATACCGTGGTGGAAATATGTATGAAAACATTAGAAATAGAATGACAATTAAAAAAAAAAACCCTTTTTTACCAGATGAGTTTTAAAAAATAATTTTTTAATTAATTTTAAATGAAGGGAAATACATTGTAACTCTCACCAAAATGTGAGGTCATAAATTAGGTCACATTCCACCCTTACATGCTAATAGTAATAAATGGGAATTATGTCGAAATAAATCGAGTATTCAAGAGTTACACATCTTTATTGTATTTAATTTCATAAACCTACAACATACATGTACTCCAAACTCTATATTCTCATTTTGTTATGTCATTGTAGCTGAAGACTGCCTGCTTGGTCCTGCATCCATGAGAGCCTACGTCGCGGTGATTATCGTGTGCTCCAATATTCCTTAATGGTGTCCTATTTGGTCTAGCTTCTTCATCATCTTGTGTTACATTAGTGAATTCTGTATGATTGCGTATTCTGCGATGTCTGCCTGTTGGATACAGTGTCCGCATCAACCAATGTCACGGTGATGAAGTCTCTGTTTTACCGTGTTGACTGCCTGTTGGGGATAGCGTCCACTTCAGCCTTATCGTAGTTGGAATTCTTAGTGTTTGCGTATTCCGTTGCACCTCAACGCAATTGGACGAGTGCTACACATATTCTTACTCTCATTCCATTGTTTATTGTCTTGATTGATATTTGAATTGATTGATTAATAATTGATTGACACGTAATTGACTTGATTGATATCAGAATTGATTGATTGACTGATTGATTAATAATTGATCGATTGAATTTGATTGATTATTGCATTGATGACGTTCATGCACTTGTGACCTACCCAATGCATGATCTGTCCTATTTGGGTCGTCACATTTGTTGTCACAAAAGCGCCATTAAACAGACAAAATAACATCCATATTGTTTATTTGATTTATAGGGAATCTGAAATAAACGTATATGTCGTAGTCGGACGATTTATTAATCAGATAAATTCATTTCTCCATTAACTGCTTTGAACTTGAGTTCGAACATCCGTCTTGCTTAATCGGATCAGGTAATTTAACAATAATATAATAGAAATTTTTGTCCAGTTATGTTTCAATGGATTTATTTTAGTGCTCTTTTAATTTTTTTCAGAAGAAAAAAGGAACCATCGTGACATACAACTCGTTCATTCGCGCTTAACAACACGAGGGATTTCTGGATCTGGGATTTAGTGAAGCGACAGACAAAGAGAGATTTGTAAATATTTTGGTACACTTAAGGAATGACTCCAATTCTTGGCCATATTATCGAGTATAATCTGGTTTGGGTTAGTTTACGATAATACTGGATAATATTGCCAAGAATTAGAGTTATTCCTTATAATTAAATTTTAGGATAATAAAACAACTTTGGACGTAAAATTGTGTTGCTTTTGATAAGTTTAAATTTACCTCGCAGTAATACAACCGTAGTAACGGACTACAGCCATGATCTTTGTTTACATGAGGTAAGAAAAGTAACATTTATTAAATCTGGATTCCGAGGACTGGAAATGAGGGGATTGCATGGATAACATGATTAAGCTGGTCGTCAAGGGGGTGGGGGGGGGGGTGTCCCCATACCAAACCAGATTATACAAAATAATTTGCGTTCCTTTTTGGAAATCAACCAATGAGAGGCGAGAATACAAACAAAATTAAACTAGTGCTAATTGTGACGGGGACCGTTACAGATGTTCCCCAAACGCTCACCATGTCCCTTTTCGTGCCTTATTCCTCTAAGACCTTTTATATATATGCTAAGTAACCAAGGATTTCATTTAAGAAAATAAAAATACAATGATATCAACTATCAACTATATATCGGTTAACGTTTTACATGCGCGCAAACGTACATGTACATGCATATGCAAGATGATTATGACATGTTGGTTAAGCGATTAACATATCTTTCTATCCCGCGAATCAAAGAAAAAAAATAATATATAAAGTTACCATTTTTCAAGCATATGTCAGTTTTTAATATATCGATTCACATTTTATTCCTCTACTGATTTTTACCTCGGGCTCAAAGTTGGTTTTATTTCGACGACAAGGCAGCGTTTAAGTCGACTAAGGGTATCACGCCGATAGCTAACCAATCAAAATGAACTTATTCAATAATAGTTCCATACATGGAAAAGGGATTTTCCTTTCTGTTCAGATTTTTTTTATATTTCCTCTCAGGCCATTTTGACAACTCTGGTACCTGTGCCTAGTAAATTTTATATACTTTGTAAATTAATATATAAAGGTTTTTGACCGGAACTATTCATTTTTTCCAATGCATAGGAAGCTACTTTCTGGCACTCGGAGTTCCTCGGATGACTCGTACCTCGCACGGAGCGAAGCGGAGTCAGCCGAGGATTGCCGATTGACTTTCTGGGGGTTTACTAGAGATGTTTAAAAAGACATTCGTGTCAGCTAATGTGACCAATATTGTTTAACACCTTCTTATTAATATTTTTTTAATGAATGCAAATACCTGATTATTTTACGAAGGAGCATACATGTATATTTATTTTTAATATACCGAAAATCGCTATTTTTGGGGATTGCGTAATTCTAAAAAAAATTCAAATAAATTTCAAAGGTATAAATAAACAAAGGATGCTTGGTATTAAAATACTATTTCGAATCAGTAGAATTGAATGCTATTAACGACATCTGAATAAATAGGCTATAAAAGGCTTATAAACTAACTTTGTTCATCTGCACTTTAATTTTAAACACAACAGGATTTGTAATTTTTTCCGTGTAAATTAATAATTTCTATATACTTTGGAAACTCAAATCAAATATTTTAATACACTTTCCTCGAGCTCTTTTTTGCAGTTTCCCTGAAATTTTATGTGGGTCCGAGGTGTTATTTGAGTTTTACAGCGATTCTCTACGGTGCCATTGATTTGATTTGTTTGTGTGTGTGTGTGGGGGGGGGGGGTGTATTTTTATTCTTAACCTATTTAACGTTGGAGTTGAATCTGGTATCTTACTCCAAGAACTTAAGATTGATTGTGACATTTGGATGAAAGGTCAAGGTCATTAAAACCACCACCTCTTTACCTCTTTAACTTCTATCCTGCCAACCGAAATAAACTCTGAAAGGTGTTTCTAGATACATGTACATGTACTTCATGTTTCTTTTTACCCTTGGGTCAAGGACAAAGGTTAAGGTTGATTTCAAGTTCATAGGTCAAGGTGATTTTGGTAAATAGCTAATATCAACATTTTATTCAGGTTACCAGTGACCTTGACCTAAGTTTCAAGGTCAAGGCTCAAAAGATCTGCATGCTTCAGTATGTTACATGTCTTGACATTTAGAAGTTCTTAATTCTGCATGAACATTAAAAACTCAAGTAAACTGTCGTTTAATGCATTGTGTGCGGGCGCATGTGCATGCACGTCCTTGCATTTACTTTTGATAGTAGCATAACGTAGGCATTCATTATACATGTATCTATTCATATTCGAAATTTCACCTTGTATTATTGAGAACCAAGAAAGTTTTAGGCATTTAAAGTTTTAGCCAATCAGATTGCAGCACACGTGCAAGTGCGTGCGTTCATGATTATGCTTATATATCATGCTGTAGATCTTCATAATGTATGACTATGTTCAAAATTTCAAAGGATTTTGTCAGAAAACAAAAACGATATTTTGACTTTTAGTTTCAGCCAATCGGAGCGAAGCGCACGTGCATGCACGTGCGATCTTGCTATTTTGACCATGTCATCATGTCTTTACTACTGATACTGTATATCCTTTTATTATGAGTTTAAAAGCATTTCATCAAAAATTTAAAAAGTTACGGCTATATCTATTATATTGGCCATTTCACGTGTTACACGTGTGCGCACATGCACGCACGTGCGCGCAAAATGACCTTCGTTCCGCACATCTACATAACATACCTAGTGACCCTAAAAAGGTTTCACCTAGATCGGATGAGTACTTTACGAGAACACTCGCGGACAAAAAAGTACCGGAGAACAAAATTCAGAAAAGAAAATTCAGAAAAAGTAAAAACAATATGTCCAAACTTCGTTTGGGGAACATAATTATAACTCTTTAGCCATATGCATTACAGGGTGTATGGGTTAGATAGATTATAGGTGTGTAATTTTATAACAGCTGTGGTGAAGGAAGCATTTAAATGAAAAAAGAATACAAAGCACTTAAATTCGCATTTATATAACATGGACATGATTTTCCTTTTTAAGTCTTCCTGATTGCATTTCAAGTGAATTTCGTATTCTCCCTTGCAGATTCTGATGAATTGTCCGGATTTAAAGCAAGTGAATAGCATTCTCTTAATATACCACTTGTGTTATCAGTAACATCGTTCCTTTTCTCATGAATATTTTCCTTATTGCCATCAATTGCAACCATTACATGGTTCTTGCTGAAAACCAATGCACCGCACATGTCCTGAGACGTACTGTTGTGTATTCCTTCGTCAACATGATCGTAGACGTCTACCCCGTCTATTGCGCTCACTTTTGAATCCGCATTGAATCTTCTGTTGCTAAGCATGTTGTAATTGTTTGAGTTCCTTGTCCACTGAGAGTAATCCTCTTGCGCTCCTACTGATTCTGCAGTTTCAGGCCGATTTGTCTCCCGTCCTTATTAAAAAAAAATTGATTTTAATTTGTTTATCAAACAAAATAATCTTGTTTTATCTTGAAAGTAAAATACACAATAAGTCTTATTTTTAAAATATAATATGCTTTTAATTTTTATACAAAAAATGTAAATGCAATCCATGATAATTAGTATACCTTATATTATTTCTTCAGTTAATATTTAATTAATTTTTAGAAAATTAAAGAATTATGATATTATTTTTAATGTTATTGCGGACGTGTCTGTTTTTATTTATATTATAATTGTAAAGCATTTTGAGTGCTTCTAAAGGTACTTACTTCTCAAAAACTGGCGTATAATCTCTAATCTAGAAAGCAACGTGTATATTATTAATAGAAAGATCGTCAGTTCCGACTTTTCAGGAAAAAAAGATATGTAATATATATAAGAAGTTCATGAGGATATGTTTTTTTTTTTATTTATAATTGATTTTTTGAAACATAACATTCATTAGGCTACATTTTATCTTTTTTGATTAACGTTTTGCCTCCGTAGATTAAGCAAAGGAAATCAACATTTAGATAATTTTATGAAATACCCATACACACACAATAGCTTCAAAATAACTTACTTTTTATTACAAAGGAAGACAATGGCGACTAGTATAGAAATTACCATGACAATTGCCGCCGTTATTGTAACAATAATGACTGTACTATTATATGACTTTTCCTCTAATAGTGCATCCTCTGGGTCTGTTTAAAAATTAAAATATACAATCTTCAGTTTAAGAAAAAATCTTACAAGAAGTATCAAATAATTTTATTCTCTCTATGTACTATCAACATCAAATTTCCAACACAAACTTAAAAGAATTCTTTCTAATGCATCAAATATATCAAAATTTTCAAAGTTGCCTTCCATATTCATATTTTAATTAAAAACTGACCATCATCAACAGCATACAGATATTAATTATTTGATTGCTTATTTACAGTATGTAAAGAAATAAGATTTTAAAAACTCGACAGGAATTGTTAAAATCGGCATAGCAGTATTTAATGTCAGCATTTTGTATACAAAATAATTTAAATTTAATCCCTGAAAACGAGATTAGTTTTTTTTCAACTACAAATAGTTTTTACCTTTTGTAGTATTATAAAAACATCCTTTTTTCCTGTCACAGTACTGGTCGGACGTACAGTTACATTTACTCTGACAACCAAATCCATAGTATCCATAGACACAGGGTCCTCCTGTACACCTGTCTCCATACGTACCTACTTCACAGGCTAGAACAACATGACAAACGAAGGAATGAAATTATTTACTTAGTATTACTTCGAACTATCTCTTATGTCTTTAAGGCTCATTGTTTCAATTCATTTTGTAATTTATTGTAATTTAGAGAAACTGGGTTTTAATACTACTAGTCATAATCCAACTTATACCCATAGCTACCTTTCTAAGGAAGACATTCTTCAAAATCACATGTCAGTTTTGAATATTTTTAATATTCCTAACAACCAGAATGGATTTGAATTACCATATCTATATTGGATTCCAAAACTTCATCAAAATCCTTGCGAAAATACATAACGGTTTCTGTTAAATGTTCTACCAAGAATCTTTCTTTACTCCTCACTAATAAATGAAGAGTTGTAGAGATGAAACTTCAGGAGTACTGTGCATCAATATATTCGAAAAGAGGTGTATATCAGATGTGGATAATTAAAAAAAATCTCAGGAACTTTTTGAAAAGAAGAAGGTATGGTTTCCATACAAATTTTGCCCTGTGATTTTCTAAAAAATGAAACTGGTGTAAAAGTTGAAAACTCATGCTTTTTAAATAATTGAAATCCAATGCAGAAAAATTATACAAGTCATTTTTCTCACATGTGTTTTTAAATGCTAATTATGACGTCATAAACATGTGCATTTTCCCGTATTTTCTTAAAAAGTTGCAGAAGACACCAATTTTCAATGGAATTTTCTTTCAGATAACATTGTCCACAGGCATCGCCCACAAAGATCTTGAGATATGTGATTTGTTATTGAATTTTGCACAAAATATCAAAAAATTAACGTGGGCGACGGCTATGGACACTGTTTTCTAAAGGAAAATCACAATTGAAATATGCCATTTTGAGGCTTTTCTGTTGAAAATAGAGAAATGCTTCACGTTAATGACGTCATATTTGCAGAATGGTAAACCTTCATGCCATATTCTTTCCTGATTTATCAGAGTCATTTATTTAACTAATATTTAAGCCAGTTTCAAAACCTTTTGATGTCATTACATTTTTAGGGCGCAATAAAGCTAAAACCATACCTTCTTCTTTGAAATCACAAACTTTTACCAAAATCAACAGCATTCAAATTTACGACTTGACAACTTTATATAAAACCATTTCTAACGATAAAATAAAATCCAAGCTTTTTTATATCAATGACAGCTGCTTTTTCAATAAAAATCGAACTCGTAAATGTACTCACCTTGTCATGATTATTTGTAAAATTATTTTGTTAAAAAAAAAACATTCTGATTGTACACACAAGTACTCTGGAGTTGAAGTTATAAAGATGCTTGAGTTTTTTATCTATGTGGTTTTTGGAGACCACGTTTTCTAACAATCTATTGGAATTCCCATGAGAACCAATTGCTCCCCGTTAAAAGTAGTCTTATTTTTGCATTCATATGAAACAAAATTCGTCAAAAATCTTATAGATAAAAAGAAGGAAACACTTGCTGTGGCCTTTAACTCGACATTTACGTAGATATATCGACGGAGTATTGTCAATTAACAATATTTTTTTTTCATTCCGATGTCGATCGATACTTTATATACCGGTGAGCTTGAGATAAAAGATACCACAGAATCTGACACATCTATTTCATTTTTGGATATTGTATTTGAAAAAGACGTTAATTGTAATCTAACAACCGTGCTTGATAACAAACGATATGATTGTAACTTTTCAATCGTTGAATTCCCCCTGCTTATGCAGCAATATACCTTCATCACTCGCATACGGAGTTTATATCCTTCTCAATTGATCCGATACTCAAGAGCATGCTTTACGTGTGAAATTTTTTTAAAACATAGCAAGTTACTGACAAAAATGTTGTTGAAACAAGAATATCAGTCTTGTTTAATGTCATCATTTCGCAACCTCTATGGTCGATACAATGACCTTGCAGCAAATACAATCATCACCCGCATACGGGGTTTGTATCCTTCTCAGTTGTTCGATACGCAAGGGCATGCTCTGCGTGTGAACAATTTTTAAATGAGGTACGTTATTGAAAAAAAGTTGTTGAAACAAGAATATCAGTCTCGCTTAATGTCATTATTTTGCAACTGCTATGGTCGAAACAATGACCTTGACATCAAAACAATTTATTACTAAGTCAGATAGTAATTGTTAGACCATTATATACCCACTGAATTGTCGACGAATTTTTCCGTTATTTCTCTAACAAAAAATACTATAGTTAACTATAGTTTACTATAGTTTACTATAGTTAACTATAGTTAACTATAGTTATAACTTTGACACTTTAAAAACTTTGACAAAAAACTTTGACACTTTGAAAAACTTTGGCGAAAACTTGGACACTTTGAAAAACTTTAGCGAAAACTTGGACACTTTGAAAAACTTTGACGAAAACTTTGACACTTTGAAAAACTTTAGCAAAAACTTTGACACTTTGAAAAACTTTGGCGAAAACTTTGACACTTTGAAAAACTTTGGCAAAAACTTTGACACTTTGAAAAACTTTGACAAAAACTTTGACACTTTGAAAAACTTTATCGAAAACTTTGACACTTTGAAAAACTTTATCGAAAAATTTGATACTTCCAAAAACTTTATTGAAAACATGGATATTTTAACACTTCGAAAAACTTTATCGAAGACTTTAACACTTCGAAAAACTTTATCGAAAACTTTGGCGAAAACTTTGACACTTTGAAAAACTTTGATGAAAACTTTGACACTTTGAAAAACTTTGACGAAAACTTTGACACTTTGAAAAACTTTGGCAAAGACTTTGACACTTTGAAAAACTTTGACGAAAACTTTGACACTTTGAAAAACTTTAGCAAAAAATTTGACACTTTGAAAAACTTTGACGAAAACTTTGACACTTTGAAAAACTTTAGCAAAAAATTTGACACTTTGAAAAACTTTGACACTTTGAAAAACTTTGGCGAAAACTTTGACACTTTGAAAAACTTTAGCGAAAACTTTGACACTTTGAAAAACTTTGACGAAAACTTTGACACTTTGATTTACTATAGTTAATTATAGTAAACTATAGTTAACTAAATTTAACTATAGTTAACTATAGTATATTTTTGTTAGGGTATAATTAACTGTTTAACGATCATGACAAGAAGGATATGTAGATAACGAACAGTATTCAATATCAAAGTCAATAAAACAATACAAAATAGGAGCAGAGCAAACACGGACCTCCGAAACATCAGAGCTGGGATCACCTGTGCCATGGAGGAGTGAGCATCCCCTGCTCATCGGTCACACCCGCCTTGTGCTCCTTGTCATGAGCGGGAAATAACGGAAAAATCCGTCGTCAATTCAGTGTATAAATAATGGATTAACAATTAGTATGAAAAACGTCTGTCAGCATTTGACTCAATGATAAATTGTATTTGCTGACAAGGCCATTGTATCGACCATAGAACTTACGAAACGATGATTTCAAACAGGACTGTTGATATTCTTGTTTCATCAACTTCCTTGTCAATAATTTACCCCGTTTTAGAAATTATTCTTAAGTAGAGCATGCTCTTACGGCGGGTGTGACCGGTCGGCATGGGATGCTCACTCCTCCATGGCACCTGATCTCACCTCTGATGTTTTACAGGTCCGTGTTTACTCTGTACTGTATCTATTATCCGTGGACTTTTGAGCTTGAATACTGTTTGTTATCTCCATATATTTCAATTGTACAGTACATCAGTGTTATATGTATTGTTTTTAATCTTTTATATCCTTTTGAAGTCTTTCACTGTTCGATATCTTAACCTTTCTATATTCACGTATTGAGGATCTTATCAAACGTAGACACATAGAGAATGAAAAGTTGTTTATTAGTTGCAATATCTCAAAATAAAATACTTACGTTCGCAGATGTCATCCTTTTGTTTATAATTTGTACAACATTTAAGGTTTGTTCCACTAAGGTTAAAATTGAATAAAATTATATTAAAAAATAGAAATTCATACAATTTATAGCGACATGTACCAGGTATAGTGTTAAGAAGTGTCTTCAAGTCAATTTATTGACTTTTGTAAAGCACACTTACTCTTTATTTTTGCAAACTCCTGGTCCATCTTTGAGATTAATTGTTCCGTTGGCGAAATAAAAAAATATGGGAAACACATAATAATGCTGAAATAGATTCATTGTGATTTAAAGATAGAATTATTCTCAAGTTCTATCTGCAAGTGCATGATATACAGTACAGAAAATTCATTTCCTTCCGACGCTTAATCATATAAGGAAATAAAGTATATTTTTACCATACCGATTTTACATTTCATAAACTTTATTTCTTAGTCATTTTCCATTCTTCAATCCTGACTTATTTAATTGCTTTTTATGTCATTATTATTACTACTAAAGTTGTCATAATGAAACAAAGTTAGAAAAGCATGAACAGAAAGACCTTTTCCAAGTTAATACAGAAATTAATTGCTAAATGCATGAAATGTTTCAAAATTATCTTAAAGCTATCGTGCAAAGTCTTAAACCTTATATTCGCAACTACATGTAGCAAAGTGGTGTCCGCCATATTTCTCTCGTCTGCGATAGTTACAATTCCAAATATATGTGATCAATCGCGGCCACGGGCTAT